GAGGCCATTAGTTCTTAGGCAGTCCTCCTAGGCTCTTCCACTGCTTTCGAATTATTTCCTCTCTCCTTTTCCTCACCTTCTGCTTCTCCAGCCCTTCTCTGCCCCATCATCCCTCACATCCTCCTCTTCCCTTACACCTGCCACCCTGTCACTCCTGAATTGTGGCACTAACACCGTGGCTCACTTCCTGCTCATGTCTGTTCTCCCCACAGTGCTCAGCCCTCCTGCTAATGTGACTCAGGTCATGTCATTTCTTCCCTTACAATGGTTGGATTCTGGTCTACCACTTTGCTATTTGTTTTCAATTTGTCTCATATCTCACAGTTTCTGTTCCTCCTTTACTACTTTCTTATGTGACAAGGGAACATTTTTTAGTTTATGGTTTTAATTCTTCTAGTGGCTTTTAGCTGTATTTCTTTACACTAATTTTTTATTGTTCTAAGAATGGAAACTCAATTCCTTGACTTTTCACAGTGAGGTTGAGGTAATGTTAAACTACATCCAGCAAAATAAAGGACACATGAAATGGTATAGTTTCATTTAACCTACCATTATGCTATTATTGTTGCATATATTACATCAATATACATTATATACTCAATGATACAGTATAATGTTTCTGTTTTAGAAAAGCAGTCATATGCCTCCAGGAAATTAAGAAAATGAGTGTGTATGTGATATGTGTGTGTGCATCATTTCTGTTGTTAATTGTTCCTTTCTGTGTATCTGGGTCACCGTCTAGTATCATTTCCCTTCAGCCTGAAGAATTTCCTTTAAAATTATATGTAGTACAAGATGCTTAGGAAATGAATTTTATGGTTTTGATTATCTAAAAATGTCTTTACTTTTAGCCTTTTTCCCTGCACCCTCCCTTTTTTTTCTTATTAGGGAATTTACATATAACAAAAATTTATGAGTTTTAGCTGAGCTTTTTGGTGAATATTGGTAATTATTTGTAGTCATGTAACTACCATGCTGGACAGTAGAGAAAAACCACATGCAAAGAACGCCCTGCTAGGCTCCTCCACTGCTTTAGAGTCCTCTCCCCTGCTCCTTTTCCTCACCTCCTGCTTCCCCAGCCCTTCTTTCTGCCCCCTCATCCCTCAAACCTTCCTCTCTCCTTAGTTCCCACCGCCCAGTCACTCCAGAATTGTGGCCCTGTAGAGAACAGTTTCTTTTCCCTAAAAACTTTCTTTCTGTCCCTTTCTATTTAATCCTTTCCACCCTCACCCCTTCCCTTCATTCAACCACTGCTCTTCTTTCTGTCACTGCAGTAGTGAAATTCCTAAAATTTCATGGACATGCAATCATATGTGATGTAGTCCTTTGTTTGGTCTGTCACTCAGCATAACAATGTTCGAGATGATGTCATTCATTCATTTTTGTTGCTGAGCAGCTGCCCAGTATTGCTGGAATACCGGTTATTCACTGGTTTCTCTGTGTCCACTTGATAGAAATGTGGGAGGAAGGCAGCAAATCACACTGCCACGTGTGTACCTATGCAACAATCTTGCATGTTCTTCACATGTACCTCAAAACCTAAAATGCAATAAAATAAATAAATGGGAAAAAAAAAGAAATGTGGATTACTCCAGTTAGGGTGTGTCATTAATGAAGCCACTATAAATAACTGCTTACAAATGTGGCCTTATATTTTTATTTATTTTGGATAAATACATATTTGTGGGATTGCTGGGTCCTGTGGTAATGGATGGGTAGCTGTATAAGAAATTGCCAAACCGCTTTACAAATTGGCTGCAACATTTTTTGCATTCCCACCAGCAATATCAGACATTTCTATTTTTTCCATATTCTTGCCAGTATTTAGATTTATCATATGTATTTTTAACTTTACCTATTCTAGGTGATGAGTGATGGTTTCTCATCATGGTTTTAACTTTCACTTGTTTGATGACTACTATTGCTTGCTATCTCTTCACGTTCATCTCAATGACTTCTTACATGTATTTTATGAACTATTTTGCAAATTCAGTGATTAATTCCAGAGATTGTTTCAGAATTTCCTAGTGTTTTCTACATATGCAATGAAGCTGGTGTCAAAAAAAAAAAAAAAAAAGACATTTATTTATTTATTTCCTATCCATTGATCTTTTCCCTTTTAAAATTATGTTTCCTTGGTAGAGGTAAGGTCTCACCACCAGGCTGGTCTCAGACTCCTGAACTCAAGTCATTCTCCCACATCATTCTCCGGAAATGTAGTGATGACAGGTATGAGCTACCATGCTCGGTTCTTCTATTGGTCTTTTATTTCATTTTTTTGCCATGTTGCACTGGTTAGGATGGCTGTTAGGTGTTTAAACAAGAATGATGACAGCTCACCTATTTGTTTACGAGGAACTTAAACAAATTTACAAGAAAAAAAACAGCCCCATTAAAAAGTGGGCAAAGGATATAAACGGAAACTTCTCAGAAGAAGAAATTTGTGTGGCCAAGAAACATATGAAAAAAAGCTCCACATCACTGATCGTTAGAGAAATGCAAAACAAACCACAATGAGATACCATCTCTCACCTGTCAGAATGGCAAGTACTAAAGTCAAGAAGCAATAGATGCTGGCAAGTCTACGGAGAAATAGGAACACTTACACTGTTGGTGGGAATATAAACTAGTTCTGTTGTGGAAGAATTTCACCTGACAAGAAACCCAAACGTCATTCAGAGGATCGGAGGAACACAGTTTATTACGCCAGCGGGCCCAGACGGGTTCGCACCCAAAGGTCTGGCCCTGGCCTGTAATAGCACACAGCTTTTATAGGTTGGGTGCAGGGGAGTAACCGAAGGTTTTAGGCAATGTGGTTGTTTCTCAAGGGACTTCCTAGTTAGCAAGCAGGAAGCGTGCATACAGAAGCAGATAGTGGTGGTTAGTCGGGCAATAAGGAGATTTTTCACAAACTTTCCACTTCATTCCCCCTTTGATGCTCTTTTATGAACTATATGGAGCATTACCTTTATATTTCAGTTGAGTTTAGTGGCAGTTGGGCTGCTGTTTTCTTGACTACTGTGGCCTCGATGAAGCACTGG